AGACGTTTTTGGTTAGAGACTGGTCATTTATCAATAGATAGCCCAGAGCTAATATACAACGAGAGAACAGGGATAGTTTCCCGAAGTAACAATTAGACTAACGATTTTTATTGAGTACAATAAGTGATTGATAATTATTCGATGCTTCGTCGAAGTATCATCAAGTTGAGATAATGAAAGTTGTGCGTGTAGTGTACAGTTGTGGAATTATAGTTTAGTTCGTTATTAGTACAATTATAGTGATAGACATGATCCTAAAATTGTAGATCTGTCATGATGTGAAAAGTGAACCAAAAGACCTTACTTGGAAGTCACGTGATTGTCTACACTGACTCGTCGTATCGTAACAATAAAAAGTATTATACTTAGCACTTCTAGAGAACACATTTGGGCTGAAGATAAGATAATATACTTATTGCGAACAAAGACAAGTTATACAGAATGCCCACGTCTGCGGAGCCGCCTATCTGGTATACTAAAGGCGGAAGGAATACAACAAGACTTCATCCACAAAATACTTAAAACTACAGTTTTCGATAACAAATCTTAGGAATGGATTGCCTTTGGAAAAAAGGCCTTTGTCTTATTTGTTTCTTTACTTCAAACTACTCAAAAATCTTACTTATTCAACATGTAAGATAGTTCTTGCCCGAGATTAACATAAATATGAACTTCGAAACAAAGTATCTACCACCAAAGTTGAGAAACACAGATCAAAAACTCGGGAAAACCTCTTCCTCATCAATTATGCAATAATATGGAACAGTCTTCTCTCCGAAATACGCACGGCAAATGAATTGCATACGTTTGTAAAACTGCTTGGTCAAGCTCTCACTTGCACTGATCTAGCACGTACGAACACATCTGCGCCCCACTCAGACATCATAGGCTCTCTCCATGTCTAGACCAAAATGGACTTCAAGTTCAGCTTGCCTTACTTCTCCTACTTTGTAGTTGTATTAGTTACAAGTTCCGCCCTATCTCTTCACTTGAAGTAGACAGGTAACTCTATAAACTCATCTGTACTGTTCAACTAAACTCAGTCGCTAATGGACACCCACCACCACCCTAAAAATCAAGAGGACGGCACAATCGACTGCCTACTACCAGTGGTCTTGCATCTATAGAGCTTGTCACCTATCAACTAGTTAGGACAACACAAAATAACATCAGCCCCAAGTTAGTGTTAGTCTCTTCCTGTTTATTTTTTATCAGCCTTTTACTCTTCTCTACACTATATTGACTAGCAATTAATATTATTTCTCCACTCGTTACCTTATCTACAACTCATATACTTCTATACTTTTCCGCCTGTTTTAATAAACAACTATTCTACATTATGCCCTTCTTAATGCATATACTCTGGTTGGCAAACTATACTTCATAATATAGTCAATTTAAACATTGCATTAATGCCTTACCTACAGTACAGAACTCGTAATTGCCTGATAAGCTTGTAAAATTTTACTTATAGAACAGTGTTTCCCAACAGGATGTGAAACACAGAACATTGTGTAAGGTGTGATATACATCCAAAAATAAGCTTAAATGAGCCTAACATCACAAAAGGAGGGAAGGTGGAGTTACTGACCAACAAGCATTGATGGTGAGGGCGATGACCTCAATCCACCCATGTTTGTGGGGCAGAACATTTTGTTTGTATCAGGCTTTTTATGGTTGAGAACGAGTCAATCAATTTGTGATATAGATTGCCTTTTTACTCTCACCACTCAGAATCATGTTTCCAATTTTATGCTGGATTAGTTATTATACTAAGACAACCTATAACATGCTAACTCGGACTTTTACACCAGGATTGTGTGACTGGCGTCGGATGGACAAAAAAGAGAAAAGAAGGAAAAAAATTAGACAATAAAAGTTATATTCATTAGTATTTTGAATACTTCACCTTCTATATGCACACTCGCTTCTAATGGACCTCTTTCCTTGTACCAACCCTGACTTCCCTTCTTTCATGTGAGCTTACTTCAACTTGTTGAACATCACAACTCATTGTTCTTTATTGCTACATTATCTTATATGGAGCCTCTGACTTCATTTCACTCTAACAAGAGATAATATGAATTTAATCTAATTTATTATACCTCTGTCTGTTCTACTACAAAATGTTAAGCAACGTTTGGCGTTCATATCCAAGTGCCTTGCTGCTCTTCTGTTCCTCTTTTTTTCTTCAGAATCTTGCTCTGAGAGCATAGCTATGGAACTTCTGAGGTCTGGAACAAACTTGACGTACGCGTCTCCACAAGGTCATGGTTTACAGCAAGCACTCTGCGAGTCTACTTTATGACAACTATAAACTTGATAAGCTAGGAAGCATGCTGTGAGACGACAAATGTTATTATTTGTAAATCATGCCTGTAAAAGTGGCGTGTACCTGCTCATGCAGAACTATATTATTATTATTAAAAACTTTGAGCAATAGATGATATCTTATTAGAACATATTGAATATAAGGACAAAATTATAACACCCGATGAATGTGCCTACATGGACGGGACAAATGGACCTTTTAATCTTTTATATTGATTGTTAGTGGAAGTTCGTTCCCTTATTTTTGATGTGTTGGGGGGTAACAAGGCAGTATCGAGGATTACAGTAAATAAATTACGTCTTCTTTTTGCAAGTTCGATCAGCAGAAGCCTGGTTCATAAAAATTCTCCAGATTCGGGCTCATATCAAGAAAAATGAACAGTCCTTCAGCTTCAAAGGGTCCTGAACACGTATTTGAAATACCGAACCAAAACACGTTAGAAACCGAAACTTGAAGATAAAGCAGTGAATTTAAAGTCAGTATGGCGAACGATATTCACAATAACAGTAGCAACTCAGTTAAATACTCATAAATTGCCCAGCTTCAGGTATGAATGGAGAAAAAAAAATTGTTCGTAAGTATTTGTTATCAAAAATGACTTTATTAGGAAGAACTCACAAACACCACCTCAAAATTTAATAGAGTTCAACCCAGACACATAACTACGAAGATTCATTGAAAGAAAGGAGTGTAACCTAACAGGTTCGATTGTGGCCATAATTTATAATCTGTATGAGTAGTTAGGTCCTGTAATCGCTTCTGTCCGAAATGTTAAAAATCTCTTTTCTACTCTCTTAAAGAATCTCAACATGTGCATAGGAACTGAGAGCATGATCTCCCACCGTTCTTTTAGATGTTAACCTAATGTGGTCAGATTGAAGTTATGTAATTAATGAATTTACGACGTCTTATACTGAAACCTCTTTCATGAGACAACTCACTATCTCGGTTCATTATAGCTCGAATGATGGTTTGATTCGTTTCGCAGTCACCTTATAGTATAAAAAACGAACGATTGGAGATGACAACAGCAACTACAGAAAATTTACTAATAAAAATGGATAGTGCAGATGATCTACAGTCCGGAGTCACGTCAATGTTGGTAATATAAACAAAACTGTATTTATTCAAATGGTTTGGACCACATCTTGGGGTGAAGCAGTAGATAAAGTCGTTGGAAAACTTGAAAACAGAGTAAAAGATCGACATCAGTTTACATTTACAAATATATTTACATTGCCGCCGCACTTTTCCTTTATTGATTGATCGCTTCTGAGGATAAGTACTTGTAGCGGTAAATAAATCCCCAAAATAAATAGCACTAGGTTTTCGACATTGGATGCTGACCATATGTTTTAGTGGACTCATTTAGCTGAAGGCGCTCGGTCAGGCATCCGCACCAGATCACGTGTGGTAACGCCGTGCTCAACATCAACCGCAATCGCTAGCCAGATTAGATCAGAGAATTCCGATATATTGGTCATCGCCAAATATACTCTTCCAATCTCCTCGACTCTGTCTTTCGATTTCTCTGGGCGGAAACGAAATATATTAGAAGGTGTTACTGGTAGAAGCGTTGTCAAACACTGAATACCTGTGACATCATCATACTGAAACCTTGTAGTGACACTAAGCAACCATCTTGTAAATCATTTAACCAGGATTCTTGAATTGTGAACTCACCACAAATACAATACATGTTCAGAATTAAAAAAAGAAAACTCACCATGCCAATTATTGATAGGCAATTGTAAGTTAGCAGTTTAAGAATCAGTATCTTAATAATCTCCAATCTTTTCAACGCATATTGCCAGCTACCACGATGTCTCTGGTTGTTTTTTGTAGCTTATCAATCACTAGTTTGTAAACTTTTCATACACACAACGGAATAGATCATACGACTAATTGACATAACAATGTGTTAAAATAAACAAAATGGATAACTTGTTGAAATATCTAGATGGTAGGAACAAGTAACCCACATATTCATGCATGTCGCTCTCTGTGGTTAGTTCACTGTACAACAGACAGTGACTACATCCTTGCATGCGCTGAAGCTATTCCTTTGGCTGATCATTCCAAGACCTTGAATAGAATCGGTAAATGCGTTCAACGCGACAGATAATTCAGCCAGTGTGCAGTGGTATTTAACTGTCATTTATTAACTTTCCTCTTGTTCATATTGCTTTGTTTATCTAGATTTCGATCTGGTGACATCAAAGATCTATTACCTAAAGAAATAGAGGCTTTTAAGGCATAAACTTCTATTCCTTCCCCAATCATTTAAACTATTTTTGGTTCAGTCGACAGATCTAGTGGCTCTCTCCAAACAGTATGGTTTTCTGCCACCAAAAATGTTCAGCAACTCGTTGAAGTTAGAAAGTTGGAGCTGCATCATATAATTAAGCAATCCATATCAGAGAGTTTTAATGTTGGTAGTTATAAATGTATTTATTTTGGCTATCAAAGAATGTCTTCTTGCTTAAACAGATTCTCGGTAACAATGAAAAGTATGTTTTTTAACGACAAAAGTGAAATGTATCAACATTCACGCTTTATGATTCTGTCCACAGGAGTTTGAATTAACTTTTCATCAGAACGTTATTGGATATTGGCTCACCTATTTTCCATTGTTTTGTCATGCATCATTTTCAATATTTGGCGCGTGATGTCTACTCCGGAGGGTGTCTTGTTGCCAGATGGCCGGAAAATCGGGGACCTGAAGGTTGCTGATCTCCGAAACCAACTAGAGATTAGAGGTCTTAGTCGCTCAGGAGTAAAAAAAGACTTGTGCGCACGTCTATCGGATGCTGTAGATGGAGAATTGCGTCAAATGAGAAATGTAAGTTACCACATATATGTCTGAGTTTCTGAAACACCTTTTTACCGTACTAATTCTCATTGTGGAATGTAACGTCATGACGTTTAAGGATTCTAGGTATGACAAAGTGCTTTGGTTTCCTTGTGAATATTAAAGTATGTATTATTGGTCATTAGGTTGTTTAGAAAAGCCGTAGTATCTGTATTTATTGTTTCTTCCTTTTACTATGTCTAAGATAGTATCAATTGCGTCAAAAGTTAGGTGAGTTATGACGTTTATCAAGTATTGTCCTGGATCTTTCATAGAGTATTTAAAATGGATCAAAGAGAGGTCACAGGTTACAACAGCCTCACTCAGCTACTAGCTCAAAGTTTTCTTACAGACTGAGAGTCGCCAAGATTCTGTCCTACTGCTCATCCGCTTCAAACGAACGGTTTGTACTTTTTGTGTGTCACTGGAAGGCACGATAAGTATACACGTATCAACTAGTGACCGGTAGTTCACTACCTCCCAATACATGGCTAAAACCTAAGCAAATTACTACTGAGAAGTATTTGGTAGGACTCTAATTTATGGACGAGCCAATCAGAAGCGTCTAAGGAATTTTTAAGGTCATGGCGCTAAGTTCAGTGCGAGATGCTCACATTCGATCGTTTTACAGCAGATTTTAAAGAATAGGTGATCGTTGAGAGACTACAGCAGATGGGACTATTAGGAAGTTCCTATGTCTGTGACTGCGGCAATTAAATGACCGCAGCACGATGTGCAGACTGCCGCGATGACATTGTATTTCGTTGTACTATATGTTGTAGAAAAAAATCTGCTCGAAATGTCACTTTTTACCCGGTCACGGCTAAGGCTAAGACAAACCATGATAATCGTTGCAAATCGGATCTTAAAGTCTACAGTAACATTAGCTGCGGCTATACCGATGTTTGGAAAACGTATAGATGCCTCTCCAGACTTGGTTTTGTGCATCATGTTGTGGTGTACAAACGTTATTTCTTTGATCCAACGACGGGGGGTTCATACAAACAACATTGAGGGCATGTGGTCTAGGCTGAAGTATTCTTAAAAACCCTACCACGGCTCTAGAGGACGATTATTATAGAGTCATATGGACGAGTTCTTATACCGCATGCACTATGATTTCAAAACTTCTGAACCTATATCAAACCTCAACAAGTTCTCAAATAATGTAAAAGAAGAATATTCATTGTAATTCATCACTCTTTTATAATATATTTTTACTTTATACTAACTCTCTTCTGATTGGCTAATGTCCTCAAGGTCCCTTAAAAATTCGTTCAAAGGTCGTCCATAAATTAGAGTTTCACCAAGTATTTAGATTATTTAAATGTGTTAAAGCAAGATTAAAGCTAACAATAGACTCTTCAAAAGCCCTCGCTAACTGATGTGTGGGCGTGCATGATAATGATCGGTTGTCTGCTTAGTCGGTTATGTAGATAGTCTGACAGGTGTCAGATGAGTTATATATTCCCCTATCCTTATTATTATTGTTACTCACCTATTGTCGATTGTTCATTGTTGTTAGATTGTGTCGGGTTTTGGTGTGGAAATATATCTACATTATGGTCAGGCTAATCACGTGTTTTTTGATCTAAGTTGTGTTGACGTCCTGTAAAGTAGACACTGGGAGGGAATATAGTGTACATATTCGTCGAAGGCAAATTAACGTCCCATACGTGTAAACGTGGGAACCCAACGGTTATAACATTAGACGAAGTAAAAACGAGTGTTATACGATTAACAATAGTATTAAATGCATAAAGGTGGATTGGGAATTTGTAAACGTCATTTGAAGCGTAAAGAGCAGTAGTCGCAAATTTTACCGTTAACGTGCTAGTTGAGTGATAATTGGAATCGGTAATCCATGTGATATAACTCAACTTCATGATCCCACTAAAATCTGTGTCTGTGTATGAAGAACATCTTTCACATGGAGTGCGTTGACACGACGTGAGTGCCTAGATATTACATAGGTCATAAATGAAACGTTCCTTTCGATGTGAAGGCAGTGTTTTGACTTGAATAGCACTCAGGTTACTTTAAATCACCCTCCCCATTTTCATCCATTTTAGGAGTCTGGATCTGTTGCCAAGTGTGTAGAATCAGAAGAACCCCTTGGTGGTAATAATAATGTACAAAACGAAGATACTTTAGAAATTGATGCAGTCGCATCGGACGAAGAAATTACTGAAGTATCTACATCTGCTGATATATCCGAAGTCAAGTAAGAATAAATGAATGCCTCAATTTTGTCTGATTCGGTTTTTCATATATTAGTTGAAGCTCCTAGTCAGTTGTCAGTGTTAGGTCTCGAACGATTGTTTGGCAGTTTAGTTGCCACTTCAAGTCACAACAAAAGAGCCACATTAGGACTAAACTGAAAGTGGTACCAAAAGCTCTAGGAATTTTAACACAATAGTTACAGCCCAAAACGATCAGTTGCGACCAAGGAATAGAAATTTAAGCATGATATTTAGCTGAAAATTTTTGAGTGAAGTGGAAAATCAACACATCATGTAACACAATGCCTTCAATTATTAGTTACAAGTATTGTGTGGATTCTAACCAAATTACGGAGTCGCGTAATAGCCTTGGGACTTTGGTATAAACTAAAATAGTCAATTGAAGCCCAACTTTGAGAGTTTGTCATGAAAATTCTGCCAATCCTTATCAGACCGTGTTTTCTGGCTAGGATTAATGTAGTTCGTTCAAGAAAATATAACACCTAAAACCAGTAATTTTATCTAAAAGTTTTGTGATTGGTTCCAGATAAATTTTCATCACATCCTTAGAATTGCTTATGCACTTTCTTCGCTTAATAACAGCTTACATAAACCAAACCAAAATGTTGGTTATGCAGATGTGTCCGAGTATATTTACTACTTAGCTTGCCGCACAATAATGTTTTCTTCTAAATGAAAAATTCAGGTACCTATCCATTGACAAATCAAGTTGAGATTCCGTTCATGCGTTTTTGAATACTTGTCTTTCAAAATATGCTGCGCTGCAATCTGTTTAGTCATACGTACGAGTTTTACTAACATTATTTACATTCATATGTGAGAAGTGATATCCCTCTAATTCTGTGATCAAATTATCTCATAAAATACCAACCTAACAGGGTAGCTTACTACAGTGAAGCCTGTATCATCTGTAGCGATCTGATCTTGCCTGTAAACTGGCATTCCGCATATAACATAATGTAGTTAAAGAGTAACTTATTATTATTATACTGTTAGGCATCTAGTCCATTTCCAAATGTTTCTAGTTAGTTTGAGCTATTTAGGTTGGTGCAGATTGTAATAAGCGCAAATGTGACCTGACCTTGACTTCTACTCTTCTTGTGGACTTCGTGAAATGCTGACTCGCAAAGCAGTGTCTTAATATTAGTGCAGGATGGTCTTATGGAGATGATGGCGCGTATTTAGTATGTTGCATAGCATTTTCAGGTCGCCGCTTGTTCTACAAATCACACGATATAACCCGGGATGGTAAGGATATTAGTACTACTTCCTTCTACTCTTGATTGTAAGATCAGGAAAAGCACTTTACATTTTGATTGAGTTTTTTATTAAATTACACAGGTAACTGAAAGAGCAATGACTTCATTAAATACAAAAACATTTCACCGATGAGTGGAAGTTAATACGCGAAATGTGTTGCCCACATAAAATAAAGAATTAAATAACCGTTAGTACACCAATGATAGAATCCAACGATGAATAATATTCCTGAATCAACTTATTAATTTGGAAAATTTCTTGCACACTGTAGATTGTCGATTAACCACAGTTCAACTAATCCGAAAATATTAATTAAAATGAGGTGAAAATTACCATTATTCTGGATGCTGTATAATAAGTGGTTTGTGAATATATTGGCCTACAGCTAAGTTTTTTCCCCGCCTTAACAAAGCAGCCTGGTTTTTTTGCTACAGATAAAAGTATAGGAAACTGTATCAGTAGCATTAGATACATTCAATTTCAAATCATTACTCCCCAACAGTATGATCTACTTTATTTTACGGATCTGCAGTTGTTCCAAGTTATTCATATGTCTTTCTGGGCGAAAGGATGCAATTATGTGAGAAGTATGTCTCATTTGACTGTGGCACTCTCACTATCACCAGTGGGGACAAAGGCTTAGACGTTTTTGGTTAGAGACTGGTCATTTATCAATAGATAGCCCAGAGCTAATATACAACGAGAGAACAGGGATAGTTTCCCGAAGTAACAATTAGACTAACGATTTTTATTGAGTACAATAAGTGATTGATAATTATTCGATGCTTCGTCGAAGTATCATCAAGTTGAGATAATGAAAGTTGTGCGTGTAGTGTACAGTTGTGGAATTATAGTTTAGTTCGTTATTAGTACAATTATAGTGATAGACATGATCCTAAAATTGTAGATCTGTCATGATGTGAAAAGTGAACCAAAAGACCTTACTTGGAAGTCACGTGATTGTCTACACTGACTCGTCGTATCGTAACAATAAAAAGTATTATACTTAGCACTTCTAGAGAACACATTTGGGCTGAAGATAAGATAATATACTTATTGCGAACAAAGACAAGTTATACAGAATGCCCACGTCTGCGGAGCCGCCTATCTGGTATACTAAAGGCGGAAGGAATACAACAAGACTTCATCCACAAAATACTTAAAACTACAGTTTTCGATAACAAATCTTAGGAATGGATTGCCTTTGGAAAAAAGGCCTTTGTCTTATTTGTTTCTTTACTTCAAACTACTCAAAAATCTTACTTATTCAACATGTAAGATAGTTCTTGCCCGAGATTAACATAAATATGAACTTCGAAACAAAGTATCTACCACCAAAGTTGAGAAACACAGATCAAAAACTCGGGAAAACCTCTTCCTCATCAATTATGCAATAATATGGAACAGTCTTCTCTCCGAAATACGCACGGCAAATGAATTGCATACGTTTGTAAAACTGCTTGGTCAAGCTCTCACTTGCACTGATCTAGCACGTACGAACACATCTGCGCCCCACTCAGACATCATAGGCTCTCTCCATGTCTAGACCAAAATGGACTTCAAGTTCAGCTTGCCTTACTTCTCCTACTTTGTAGTTGTATTAGTTACAAGTTCCGCCCTATCTCTTCACTTGAAGTAGACAGGTAACTCTATAAACTCATCTGTACTGTTCAACTAAACTCAGTCGCTAATGGACACCCACCACCACCCTAAAAATCAAGAGGACGGCACAATCGACTGCCTACTACCAGTGGTCTTGCATCTATAGAGCTTGTCACCTATCAACTAGTTAGGACAACACAAAATAACATCAGCCCCAAGTTAGTGTTAGTCTCTTCCTGTTTATTTTTTATCAGCCTTTTACTCTTCTCTACACTATATTGACTAGCAATTAATATTATTTCTCCACTCGTTACCTTATCTACAACTCATATACTTCTATACTTTTCCGCCTGTTTTAATAAACAACTATTCTACATTATGCCCTTCTTAATGCATATACTCTGGTTGGCAAACTATACTTCATAATATAGTCAATTTAAACATTGCATTAATGCCTTACCTACAGTACAGAACTCGTAATTGCCTGATAAGCTTGTAAAATTTTACTTATAGAACAGTGTTTCCCAACAGGATGTGAAACACAGAACATTGTGTAAGGTGTGATATACATCCAAAAATAAGCTTAAATGAGCCTAACATCACAAAAGGAGGGAAGGTGGAGTTACTGACCAACAAGCATTGATGGTGAGGGCGATGACCTCAATCCACCCATGTTTGTGGGGCAGAACATTTTGTTTGTATCAGGCTTTTTATGGTTGAGAACGAGTCAATCAATTTGTGATATAGATTGCCTTTTTACTCTCACCACTCAGAATCATGTTTCCAATTTTATGCTGGATTAGTTATTATACTAAGACAACCTATAACATGCTAACTCGGACTTTTACACCAGGATTGTGTGACTGGCGTCGGATGGACAAAAAAGAGAAAAGAAGGAAAAAAATTAGACAATAAAAGTTATATTCATTAGTATTTTGAATACTTCACCTTCTATATGCACACTCGCTTCTAATGGACCTCTTTCCTTGTACCAACCCTGACTTCCCTTCTTTCATGTGAGCTTACTTCAACTTGTTGAACATCACAACTCATTGTTCTTTATTGCTACATTATCTTATATGGAGCCTCTGACTTCATTTCACTCTAACAAGAGATAATATGAATTTAATCTAATTTATTATACCTCTGTCTGTTCTACTACAAAATGTTAAGCAACGTTTGGCGTTCATATCCAAGTGCCTTGCTGCTCTTCTGTTCCTCTTTTTTTCTTCAGAATCTTGCTCTGAGAGCATAGCTATGGAACTTCTGAGGTCTGGAACAAACTTGACGTACGCGTCTCCACAAGGTCATGGTTTACAGCAAGCACTCTGCGAGTCTACTTTATGACAACTATAAACTTGATAAGCTAGGAAGCATGCTGTGAGACGACAAATGTTATTATTTGTAAATCATGCCTGTAAAAGTGGCGTGTACCTGCTCATGCAGAACTATATTATTATTATTAAAAACTTTGAGCAATAGATGATATCTTATTAGAACATATTGAATATAAGGACAAAATTATAACACCCGATGAATGTGCCTACATGGACGGGACAAATGGACCTTTTAATCTTTTATATTGATTGTTAGTGGAAGTTCGTTCCCTTATTTTTGATGTGTTGGGGGGTAACAAGGCAGTATCGAGGATTACAGTAAATAAATTACGTCTTCTTTTTGCAAGTTCGATCAGCAGAAGCCTGGTTCATAAAAATTCTCCAGATTCGGGCTCATATCAAGGAAAATGAACAGTCCTTCAGCTTCAAAGGGTCCTGAACACGTATTTGAAATACCGAACCAAAACACGTTAGAAACCGAAACTTGAAGATAAAGCAGTGAATTTAAAGTCAGTATGGCGAACGATATTCACAATAACAGTAGCAACTCAGTTAAATACTCATAAATTGCCCAGCTTCAGGTATGAATGGAGAAAAAAAAATTGTTCGTAAGTATTTGTTATCAAAAATGACTTTATTAGGAAGAACTCACAAACACCACCTCAAAATTTAATAGAGTTCAACCCAGACACATAACTACGAAGATTCATTGAAAGAAAGGAGTGTAACCTAACAGGTTCGATTGTGGCCATAATTTATAATCTGTATGAGTAGTTAGGTCCTGTAATCGCTTCTGTCCGAAATGTTAAAAATCTCTTTTCTACTCTCTTAAAGAATCTCAACATGTGCATAGGAACTGAGAGCATGATCTCCCACCGTTCTTTTAGATGTTAACCTAATGTGGTCAGATTGAAGTTATGTAATTAATGAATTTACGACGTCTTATACTGAAACCTCTTTCATGAGACAACTCACTATCTCGGTTCATTATAGCTCGAATGATGGTTTGATTCGTTTCGCAGTCACCTTATAGTATAAAAAACGAACGATTGGAGATGACAACAGCAACTACAGAAAATTTACTAATAAAAATGGATAGTGCAGATGATCTACAGTCCGGAGTCACGTCAATGTTGGTAATATAAACAAAACTGTATTTATTCAAATGGTTTGGACCACATCTTGGGGTGAAGCAGTAGATAAAGTCGTTGGAAAACTTGAAAACAGAGTAAAAGATCGACATCAGTTTACATTTACAAATATATTTACATTGCCGCCGCACTTTTCCTTTATTGATTGATCGCTTCTGAGGATAAGTACTTGTAGCGGTAAATAAATCCCCAAAATAAATAGCACTAGGTTTTCGACATTGGATGCTGACCATATGTTTTAGTGGACTCATTTAGCTGAAGGCGCTCGGTCAGGCATCCGCACCAGATCACGTGTGGTAACGCCGTGCTCAACATCAACCGCAATCGCTAGCCAGATTAGATCAGAGAATTCCGATATATTGGTCATCGCCAAATATACTCTTCCAATCTCCTCGACTCTGTCTTTCGATTTCTCTGGGC